ATTGTATGAATGTGGGCAGAAAAACTATGTCCTGGGACTAGATGCAAGGGAAAAAAGTATATAGGAAGTGGAGGAGACTAGACCAAAAGGGGAATGTGTATGGACTTGTGTAGAGCCTTGTGGGCAAAGAAAACAAGCTGAGTGCCATAGCAGAAAGAAAATATGTTTTGCAATGGGATTTTGGAGGAATATGAATCAAAGAGGCTAGAAAGAGCAGTTTGCAGTAAAAAGGATGAGCATTTCAGCTGTTGCAAAAAAAGCAAAGGGCTACTCACATTTGTATGCTCTACTTCTGTAAACAGAGAGTAGTATTGGCTCTGTTTTACAAAACCCTCTTTTCAGAAATAAGTTTGTCAGCCAAAGTAAAGAGAAAAAGATCAATGGATTGCAATAAACGGCATTTAACATAAAAATGAGTAAAATTTACAATTCAGTTAAGTTGTTAAATGTTAAAAAATCAGCAAACAATAGACACAATTTTTTTTGTTCAGAGCCCAGAGGTAGAGACCAAATCCTCTAAATTAATTTCTGCAAAAGCTGGGTTTTTTTCCAAACAGGTCTGGATCCTATTCGTTGTAGAATATACTGATTACTAACTATTTTTAAGAGCTTTACACAAACATTATTTCTTTTGTTGTGTGAAATGCAGAATCAGCCATCTGGCAAATGCCCCAGAGCTAAAATCTTTTACATGACATATAATTCAAAATGATTAAATATACAACAGAAAATAGCTATAGCATTGCACTTAAAATAGCATGAACTTTTACTGCCGATCAAAACTGATTTCTTTAGCTTAACAAGTATCCAAAGAACAATTATTTGAAGAGCTTTTAAGAGTTTCAATATGTAGGAACTAAACCTCATCTAAATTCAGTATCTTAAGTCAAATAAAAAAGAAACAAATGTACAAAAGATTAAATGGTCCTGCGTTATAAGTAGACATTTAAATCTATGGGAAGCTAAATTCGTTCGAACAAAAATACTATATTCCCTCTGTACGTGTATTGCTGGGGCTTTCCTCTCCATTGCTGAGGGCATCTGCCAAAACAACTCTCACATTCTTAGGCAATGACTAGGGACTAGCCTGGAATCAGACTGTTCATCCACTCCCTCCATCATCAGAATGGGCAATTTCAAAGAAGAACAGGGAATAAAGCTCCGTGCATGATCCCTAAGTGCAGTCAATCTTTTTTCCTGCACCACACTCGACTTTAACTTAAACTTGCTGTCTTTTTTCCAGAAATTCTCCAGGCCTGAAAAATTGCCAGGTCCTCATCCCACACCCAATTCTCCAGTAGTTTATGAGAAAGAGCACGCAAACATCTGCATGTATTTGGGGTACATGAGGGTAGGTACAGAAATATTACCCTGCGTAATTATTGAGTGGTTATGGCTCTGTTTCTCAACTACATTTTTCAGACAAGTCAAAGTCTTCATTTCCCAAAAAGCACTTGGTGCAAGTCAGATCTGAGTTGTAAGACAAAAAAGTCTAAATGCAGGAGATTTATCTCATGGATATGCATACTTGGATAAACCTGAAATGAATGAATACATTGCTGCTGATTTTCCAAAAAATTTTGCTTCTAAATTATTTCAGACCAAGCATGAGAACCTTCATCCCAAGGTAACAATGTGAGGAAACTGTAAGTCAGTGATTACTAAGGCTTAGAATTAAAATGGCTTCATACCCTTGCCTGCGGAGTTGGGTCAGCCTCACAACCAAGGAACCTCAGACAGTCTAAACCCAGACTTTTCTAAACTATAATAAAATAATGTTCTTGAATCTTGACCTTTTCAGCTCATAATGATTCCTGAAGCAGCAGGATTTTTCCTGCTGCTTTTTATATGACTTTCAGGCTTGTAGAAATCCTAAGCTGATTGCTGGCAGGCTTGGGATTGCAGCAACACCAGAAACTCTCCTTTTAATAAGACACTTGTCCTGGTTTTCTGGGCCTAATCCTGCTCTTAATAACATGCATGTTAATTCAGTTACCTGACTGAGCTTTTAGTGTAAAGGCAGGTTTTATGTCTTCCTGCTCTTCATGTTATATGAAGAGATGCATATATGCCAGGTAATATTGACTGCAATATAGATAGCTACCCTACGCACCGTACACATACTAATTAAACCTGGAGATGGAATATGAAAGTAGTAGCACAATTATTCTCATATTACAAAGAGCAAAAGCATGTTTTATATTATTTAATCCATCCTTGGGAAAGCCATAGGAGAAACGGGGCAATTTTAATCAGAAGTATCTTTGCTTTTCATCAAAAGAGAGGTGACCCAAGCAATCTCCTACAATCTTTTCCATCTCAGTAGAAAAAAAAATCTATTTTTGGTAGTATTTTCTCTTTGAAAGCTATGGGCTTCTCTGATATTCGGGCATCCTAAAACCTGAATTTCACCACTCTTCTTGTACCTCCCTGCTTTGCATTAAATAGAACATCATGTATTTTCTACTTTTCACTGACAAATTGGGAAAATTTGCCACTATTCTCTTGACCAAACTCTGTTACCAAGGTGCTAAGAGTCCTATTTCTGGGGAAAAAAAAAAAAAGAAAAAAAAGTAATACTCCTAGTGAAACAGGAGTTTAGTCCCAGTATCTATTCAAAATAAACAACGTATCTTCTTACAAATAAGCATTCCCATTCTTATTTATGTGTCCAATTTTGCGTACTTCGCAATACTGGAAAAAAGAAAAGATTGAAGAACACATGGAGAATCAAGAGAAATTTGAGCATCCCCGAGGAAACAGAGGTTTAGGGACGGAGTAATAACTGCAAGACTGTAATGAGAATTTGGAAAACTTTGCTAGATAAAAACGTATAACAAAACTGTTGCTGTCATTTCATTCCCTGGGCCTGATTATGTTTTCATGATGGGCCTTTGCACTGCTTTAACAGTAAGAGCTCTTTAAGTAAATGAGTATCAGACCTCCATGCTAGTGAAATGCAAGGCTTGCCAAACTTAACAGGAGTCTCTACGGTACTCTACATACACTCATCTTGAAAAAGAAGTGGTGGAAGCAAACTCAGTAATTTCTAATGGCACACATTTTCTTCTCTTTTGGAATGGCAGCCGCATGCTGCCAGTTGGGCTGGCAAGTCGGTGCCAAGGCTGTACGCTTCCTTGCCCTCTTTCACAAACAGCAGAGAAACAATCAGAAATTGCTTCATAATAGGGCCAGGGTGAAAGGTGAGAACTGGAGTATTCTGAAAGCCTGCTGCCAGACCTGAGGAAGATAGTGTCATTTTGGTAAACCTGTCAAGCTGTTGTAAGAACTTCCTGAATGCTTCCTACCATCTGCTTTTGATGCTTTCAAGACTTGGCTGGAAGCCTGGAGGTTTTCCTGCTTCTTCCTGCCCAACCTATAATGGAGTAATTCTGGATCTGTTCCCTGTCATCCCAGCCTCTTCCTCAGTTTCTTCTGCTTACAGCTGGGTTTTTTTAATTTTTTTTTTTCTTTACTGCAGTGGCCTTGTGCCCTGAATCATCTCTCCTGGGGCGGCAAGAGTTCCTCTGATGTTGAACAAGTGCCGGGTTTTTCAATTGTGTTCATGTTCTTGAGAGGAAGGGTCTGGCCTACATGACACATTCCTTCTTCACACTCACATCAACAAGTATAACTCTGTGTACAGGGCTCTCAATGGAACGGCCACACAAAGCACATCTCCAACGGTTCCGTCAGACTGCATGCTGCGCTGGTCTGGTTAGCGAATATTGATGGATATAATTTGTAGGGTTTGAGATAAATGTCATAAAGGACAATGAGTTCAAAGAACAGATTAAAAAACAATAAATTGAATTCCAAGGCGTTCCCTCCTGTACTAATCTGTGTAGGTTCCTGTGTTTTTGGAAAGCATGTTGCTTATCTTCCTCATCAGTAGGCCCACTGCATTCCAGTATTTTGGATCAATGCCATTTGCAATAATCTAGATCAGTTTTTATTCATCGTTTATAAAACAGGCCATGTATCATAGGGTATATTTTATAGCAGATGGTATCTCCAATTCATTTAACCCCCCCTTCACTTCCCTCCTCCAATATCCCAGTGCATACTTATAACAGCTCTTGAAAGTAGAGCTGAGCAGAATTTTTTTCAACAAATAGTAAATTTGCTGAAAAATGGAGTTTCCAAGCAACAAAACTGTTAAACTGTGGAATACTGAAAATGAAATGTTCTGTCTTCTAGAAACACCAGGTCTTGCAATTTGGACATTTGGGAAAAAAAAGAAAAAGTGGGGTGGGTGGGTGGTTGCTTTCAGAAAACATTTTCATTTAAAAAAAATCTGCACTAAAAAGGTGATAAACACAAAGGTTAAGTCAGAACACAAAGCGTTTGCTTCAGGTTGCTTTGTGTTATTCCAGTATCAACTGTTTGGGGATCTTCTATGTGTTTTTAATTTGAAAAGTTTCTCCTTTGGCTTGATGAGAAGCAGTTTTCCGCAAGGCTTATTAATTTGGGCACTCATCCACAAGACACAATATATGCCAGACTGTACTCAAAACACAGCTCTACAAGGTGACAAGAGAGTTTCTTTTTCAGTAAGGCATTTAAACATAGCCCTAAGACTCATTTCAATAAAATGGACTATTCTAATATGTAGACATAAGTAGATGCTTAAGCGCTTTGCTGGTTCACAACACAGAGTTTATTAGCTTTCAGGATCAACGATGTACACCTTCCAACAACTCCCTTGCTTGAGATCATAATGGAAGAGATTGAAGATTTTCCTGAGATTACCATACCAAATGGTAATAAAATATTCATATCTGCTTGGGAATACTTCATTGTAATTTTGCAAAATATGATTTACACAACCCTGGGGATACATAAATCGCTAATAAAAATAAATAAGTAAAAAATATTTTAGCTCAGTGATAACAGAACCAAATAATGGAATTCTTTATGTTTTATCTTTAACCATGCATCCTAAAAGATATGACAAATAAACTTATTTTAGTTTACCTTGCAGAAGTAGTAAATCATACCTGCATTTCTCAGAAACCTGAGTTTGTAGTCAACAATAACTCTGGTTTCAGGATTATAGAATCCATCGCCACAGTCGTAACATCCTTCTGGGATTTTTCTGGGAGGATCCAGATTTGTAAGCTGAGAAATGCCTGAAGAAAAAAACCCAAAGAGTTTGCTTTATTTTGCCTTTTTTTTTTTCCATTTGTTCCTTTGATCAAGATAACTAACAAACATTACATCTCCATGGCTTTTGCTATAAAATCAATGCAGTTACCTTATAATAAATTTTAGAAAACATTTTGCCAATTTTGCAGATGGAGAAAATGAAAATGGAAAAATCCATACACAAAAAGCGTGTGATAAAAAGATATCGCTTTGATTTCCTCATTCACGGTCCTGTGATTCAGCTCACTAAACCAACATTACAAATATGACCCCAAACTCCAAAATGGGGCCAGGAGAGTCTTGCTGGCCTCACAGAACAGCTACATGTCATCGCTAAGATAATCTATGTATAAAGAAGAGTATTTTATGTATTACATTACAGATTTCGCTCACTTAGTCCTTATAAATCTTTTCACCTTTTGGCTACAGACAAATAAGAATATTATAAAACTCTTTAGCAAAATATAGACTGGACACAAATGTTTATTTTGGTATCTACTAAAAAGCTACATGGGACAGATGCGTTCAAATTTTATTTGATGTTCTGGATGTAAATTAATTGCTTTTGGTCAACTTTCCTATATTAAACCACACTGCTAATGCAGTGAAGGCGAAATGTATAAAAGGGTTAATCAGGATATCAAAAACTGTAGATAACAGAGCCCCGTCCTGCGGGTCATCACTCCAGGAGAGACCACGCTGTGGGCGTGATGCTGCATCCTGCGCTGCGCTGGTGGAAGGCGGTGTCGGCATTCTTCTGGCAGCACTGTATGGTCGGGTCCTGAAATTAGCCAGAGCGTTTCTGCTCCATGTTACTCATGTAGCCGAATTAATCTTTCTTAAGCAAAGTTGTTAGTTTAATTCCTTCCAGACTCTTAGGATCGCAAACGCAATTCAGTACCTGCTGGTTTAAGACCAGAACAGATTTCTGTATAAAATCTTCTGTCGTAGCCGTCACAGTAATGCCATTTTTTATCTTTGTACTCGAGACCATCTGCAAAAGTGTATTTCCCCTGCAAAACATGTTCGAGCACAGAGTTAATAAACATGATGGATGGATCGAGTGTGAGCAAGGTTAGCGTTCCCACTGCCGAAACCGCACGTCAGCGGAGGAGAGCCAGCGCACGGGTCAGCTCGGGCGCCAACAGCCTTGGGAACCGCGTCGGCGGGACACCGGGCCTCGAGCAGCCACCCCCTCACACGCTCGGGTGCGAGACGCCGCAGAGGGGACCGAAAATTGGCTTGGCTCAGAAATCCTCATATTTCACCCCAAAAACCTTCCTGGCAGCGGGGCCGCTCCCCCTCGGCGGAGGCCCCTCGGAGGGGTGAGGGCCGTCCCCGCCCTGCCCGGGATACCTGCGAGGGCACCCCGCGGTGCCAGACCGCCCGGTATGTGCCGCCGTTGGGGAACAGCAGCTCTCCCTCGCCGTCAAACATCCCGTCCCTCAGCGCTCCCCGGTACTCGGTGCCCGTCGGCAGCGTGTAGGAGCCCTGTCCCTCCATCCTGGAAGAGACAGGGCGATTGGGGAGGGAAGGAGGG